CCTCCATACACATCCTTCAGTTACGGGGTTCAGAGGGCTTCCGGGTTGGGGAACGCTTGCAGGCGCTGGGAGGGTGGTACCCTGGAGAGAGCATGGATACTCCTCACCCCTTCCCACATACCGTGGCCTATGCATCAGTTCCACTTGGCCATTCTGGGATTGTGTTCTCTTGATGATAAACTCGTAACCTAGTAAGTAAACTGCTGTCCTGGGCTCTCTTTGCCACCCTAGAAAATTCATCTAACCCGAGCCAGGGGGTTGTGGAAATCTCTGACTAGAACGGGTCATTGTGGACAAATACAGTTTTTCTTCCTACCTTTTTCAGTTTTTCTGGATGGACTACTAATCAAATTAACATGAGACAGATTTACGGGAGAAAATGACCAACTTTGCTTCGTATGTGTATATATTGGTTCTTTAAGAATATGAGCCCACCCAGGAAACCCTTTCAGTGTCGGCTGAGAGCGGGAGAATTCTTAGGTGTGGCGAAAAGCCCACCCATTGGGTGATCAGAGGTTTCAGACGTGGAGTCTTGTAAGGAGCATAAAGGAAAACAATAGAGTTTTCTCTTTCTACTGGACATCGCTGGTCAGTAACCACGGAAGAATCTTGCCACAAACGCCGCCGGAGGCAACCGGTACCCGCTGGACCTACCCGCTTATCAGTTCCCCGGGAGGTTGGTCACAGGAAGCTGTCCCGACCTATTGCCCAGTGAGCCAGTGGCCTTGACTCAGACTCTGGACTATGGAGCTGCAACCAGACAGTGTCTGGGGTGTGGCCAGGCCTCCGGGATGGGATTCACAGCACCTCAGGCTGGAGGCACTGCCTGTAGTGCCACTGACTGCTTCCTCCTCCCAGCTCCTGGCCGCCCTAAGGACACTCACTTCTGCGAGGGTGGGGATGGGATTCACCAAATTCTATTTCCTTCCCCTTCTTTGGCATCTTGCCTGGAGGCCCTCCTTCGTAATCATTATTCTGACCATCCCCTCCCGTGTGCTCTGGCCTAGGCCATGGTCACCTGCCTGGACTGCGGGACCCTCAGAATCGGTCCCTAGCCTTCTAGTCCGTCTCCCACCCTCTACGTTTCCTATTTCTGTATTGATGGACTTGTTCACTGTGGACGGGAATTGCATTTGCAATCAGAAAAAAGAAAGCAGTTAAAAATACCCCTAACGCATGCACTAGAACCGTCTAGAAAAGGCACCCAAGAAACCGGTTGCGCATGGGTGCTTCTGGGGAGAACTGGGCAGCCAGGGGTGAGAGATAAGAAAGCGATTTAGGCCGGGACCAGTTTGGCTCAATGGATAGAGCGTCGGCTTGGGGACTGAAGGGTCCCAGGTTCGATTCCGGTCAAGGGCATGTACCTTGGTTGCGGGCATATCCCCAGTAGGGGGTGTGCAAGAGGCAGCTGATCGATGACTCTCTCTCATTGATGTTTCTAAATCTGTATCTCTCTCCCTTCCTCTCTGTACAAAATCAATAAAATATATTTAAAAAGAAAAAAAAAGAAAAAAAGAAAGCGATTTAGATTTGTGCTGTTTGCCCTCACCCGTTTGGCTCAGTGGAGGTTCCCAGGTTCAATTCTGGTCAAGGGCATATACCTTGATTTAGGGCACATCTCCAGTAGGGGGTGCTCAGGTGGCAGCTGATTGATGTTTCTCTCTCATTAATGTTTCTAACTCTATCCCTCTCTCTTCCTTTCTGTTAAAAAAAAAAAATCATAATAATTAATAAAATACTTTTTAAAAGATTTGTGCTATTTGAATTTACCCTGGGCCAAATGACCCCCATTAAATAGTAAAGTCCAACTCTTCCTACATAAAGTCCATCTCTCCTTCGCCTGGGGAAATGGGCTTTGACCGTCTGACCCCCTTCTCAGTCGTACCTGCCCTACTCTGAGTCTCTCCCATCTGTGCCCGGCTGGCTCCTGACCTGGAGTCTCTCTGCCTCAGGGAAACCTCCCCGGCCTGCAGGCCGGCTGAGAGCGCCTCTGCAATCAGGCTCCTCACAGCACGTCTCAGGTTCGGGCTGGGTAGTTCTTGGTTGGAGGGAGGAGCTGCCCCGTGCATGGAGGATGTTTAGAGGCATCGCTGGCCTTTGCCCACTGGTGCAGTGGTTCTCCTCGCCCCTTCCCCGTGGTGATAACCAAAAATGCCCTCAGTCGTTGCCCAATGTCTGTCCAAGGTTCCCTGGGGGGCAAAATCGCTCTCAGCTGGGCAGCACGGAGTTAACACAGGCCACCAGCCCTGCCTTCCCCACAGCAGCCCGCCGGCCATGTGGCCCTTCTCACGCTGGTCCACAGCGGATGCATGTGGTCCTCTCTGCCCTGGCTGCCGACTAAGGGACAAGCGGAGGAGGGGGGAAGGCAGGTTGAAATATTCAAATCCCTGTCCCTGGGGGGTGGGAGCGGCTGATGAGAGTCAATGGGGAGAACAGGAGACTTGTGTCATACTTCAAACAATAAATAATTAAATTTTAAAATATAAGAAATAGCCGAAACCGGTCTGGCTCAGTGGATAAGAGCGTCAGTCTGCAGAGTGAAGGGTCCCAGGTTCGATTCCGGTCAAGGGTATGTACATTGGTTGCGGGCACATCCCCAGTGGGGGGTGTGCAGGAGGCAGCTGGTTCATGTTTCTCTCTTATCGATGTTTCTAGCTCTCTATCTCCCTTTCTCTCTGTAAAAAAAATCAATAAAATATATTTTTTTTAAATAAAAATAAAAAATATGAAATAAATCCCTGTCCCTAGCACTTACCTGTGTGACCTTTGGCCAATTCCTTGGCCTCTGTGAGCTGACATTTCCTCATCTATAAAAAGGGATAACAGCTCCACCCAGAGGGGACTGTGTGCCCAGTGCCCGGCAGACACAATGCCCAGCCTGAATGGATGGATGCTCACTTTTGTTATGAATAAATGCCCCAAGTTGTTAGTGCCACGGGAAGAGTCTCCTGGGGCAGGGCGGGCTGACAGGCGTTTGGGAGTTCTCCGATGTTCATGTTTGCAGGAAGGGCAGTCATCGAAGGCTTCAGGGAGGAGGTGACATGCACTGCAGATCCTGACGGTGAAGAAGCCTGCCCCAGGCCGCCGGTGCCTGGCTCACACATAAGGGTTTGCAGAATATACACCCGATGCCAGGGTCACGTGCTTGTTTGGGAAACATGGGCTCTGAGTCTCCTGAGACAGTGGTGGGCAAACTCATTAGTCAACAGAGCCAAATGTCAACAGTACGACTGAAATTTGAGAGCCAAATTTTTAAAACTTAAACTATACAGGTAGGTACATTGTTATTAACTAGAGGCCTGGTACATGAAATTCGTGCTCTCGGGGGTCCCTCAGCCTGGCCTGCACCCCTCTCACAGCCCGAGAGCCCTTGGGGAATCAGCTGACAGCTTAAGCCTGTGCTGGGAGTGGGCCTTAGCCGTCAGTCGGACATCCTTGGCACTGCCACGGAGGTGGAACAGACTCCCACCACCGCTGCCCTTGCCAGCTGTGAGCCCGGCTTCTGGCTGAGCGGCATTCCCCCTGTGGGAGCGCACTGACCACCAGGGGGCAGCTCCTGTGCTGAGTGTCTGCCCTCAAGTAGTCAGTGTGCATCATAGGGATTGTTCTGCAGTTTGGTAGATTTGCATATTATATTAGCTTTTTATTACCGTGTTTCCCCGAAAATAAGACCTCCTCCAAAATAAGACCTACATACAGGTTTCCTTCTGAGTGAAATATAAGGCATCCCCCTGAAAATAAGGCCCCCCAGGCTAAACATGAGAGATTTGGTCCACTGATTCTGAAAGAAATGGAGTCACAAGAAATTCACCAGGAAATTCAGGAATTGGATTGTGATGATGATGTTCCAGAAGATGATGACATGATTGTCATTGAATAAATGAGTAAATTCTTGATACTGTAGGAGTCACAGTTTGTCTGGTTTGTGTTGACAACTACCGTACTACTGTACTGTATACAGGAAATAAATTTCCTTTATTTTGATTTAACAATAAATGGGTACCGTATTCTTCTTCGTGGAAAAAAAGACATCCCCTGAAAATAAGACCTAGCTCATCTTTGGGAGCAAAAATTAATCTAAGACACTGTCTTATTTTCGGGGAAACAAAGTATATAGGATTAGGGTACTCCTAAGCTGGCCTTTGAGAAAAATGCAAGGGGCCAAAGAGCCGCAGGTGGCTTGTGAACCAGTGGTTGCCAACCACTGTCCTGAGAGATCTTTTCTTGCCAATCACGGGCTCTTAACACCCCTCCCTGCAGACATTCCCCCGACACGGGCACTCACCCACGCAGGCAGCTCCCCCTCGGTGGTTTGAATGACTTTTAATAGAGACTCTCCTGCTCTGTCTGTCCCTCTCTCCAGAGGCACGGGGACAGGCAGGACAGGGTGACGCAGTACAGTGTGTGGACATGTCACTCCCCCTTCCCCCCCAAAAAAGAATCAGGTAGGGATGGCGCTGTGGCATCCATGCCTTTCCCGCCTTCCAGGTCTGCCGAGTCACCTTCCGCAGGGACAGCGTCTGTGACAGGAGCCAGGGAGAAGGGGCTCCCGCAGTTGGGTGAGGACTTGAGTCTGGTCCAGGTCTCCGTGTGGGCCCTGAAGCCGGAGGCGGAAGATCCGGGCTGCCGCTCCAGTGAGAGAAGCTCAGGGGTGTGGCTCCACGCCCCCAGATCCCCGGGCAGCTGGGGAAGCCCCTTCTGCTCAAGTGTCACTCATGGAAGGTCGGAGGAAGGGCTGGGTTTTTGAGGAAGACAGTGGGAGAGGATGAGCTGCTGCACGCAGTGAGAGTGAGCACACAGCCTCCCGGGGCTGGGAGCAGAGCACCAGGAAAGTCCCAGCCCGGGAGGCGGCCTGGCCTCCGGCCTGCGGCCCAGTCTCCCCCGTGGCAGCTCCAAGGGCAACGGGAGGCCGAGGACCTGAGGCCGGACGGGGTTCCCCGGGGTCCCGGGCGATGGCTGTGGGCAGAGAGGAAAAGTCCGAGGCGGCTGGGCCTGGCCGGTTAGGGATCGACGAAGGAGACGGCGATGTAGCGGGTGCCTTTGGTGGTGGGGAGCCCCTCGTGGTAGTGCGTGAGTCTCCCGGGGTGCATGAGGGCCCAGCCCTTCCGCGGGGCTCGGATGGAGCAGTTGTAGCGCAGGAACCGACAGCCACCGCCCTAGGAGACGTCACATGTCAGTTTCCCAACAGGAAGTGTCAGTTCCCCAACAGGAAGCTGGTCCCCCCCCAGCGTCCCCTCTCTCTCCCCCCCCCTGTTCCCCTCTTCTTCAACCAAGAGCCCTCAGCACAGCCTGCCTGGGATGCCTGTGGGGTGACAGCCATGTGCTGCCTAAGGAGGTCACTCAGCAAAGACCAAGTAATCAAGAGTCAGGCAGCCCTGGCCGGTTTGGCTCAATGGATAAAGCATCAGCCTGTGGACCAAAGAGTCCTGGGTTTGACTTCGGTCAAGGACACATACCCAGGGTTTCGGGCCTAATCCCCAGTGGGGGGCATGCAGGAGGCAGCCAGTCAATGATTCTCAACATTGATTTCTCTCTCTCTCTCTCTCTCTCTCTCTCTCTTCTTTCTTTTTCTTTTTAAAAAAATATATTTTATTGACTTTTTACAGAGAGGAAGAGAGAGGGATAGAGAGTTAGAAACATCGATGAGCTGCCTCCTGCACACCTCCCACTGGGGATGTGCCTGCAACCAAGGTACATACCCTTGACTGGAATCAAACCTGGGACCTTTCAGTCCACAGGCCGACGCTCTATCCACTGAGCCAAACCAGTTTTGGCTCTCTTTTTTTTTTCTTTTTTTTTTTTCCTCTCTTTCTCTCCCTCTCTGAAATAATATATATATATATATATATATATATATATATATATATATATATAGTCAGGCGGCCCTGGGCAAATATCAGCCACGCCCTTTATTAACTGTGACCAGCCTGCGCCTCATTTTCCCCTTCTGTAAAACGGGCATTAAATTGCACAGAGTTGTGAGCATTCAATAAGATGATACAAGTAAGAGCTTAGGGCCAGGTTTCTCAGCCTCAGCACTATGGACATTTTGAGCCAGAGAATTCCTTTTTTTAAACTTGTGGTAAAATACATGTAACACACACTTTACTACGGTAACCATTTTAAGTGAACAGTTCAACAGTATCAAGTACATTCATACGGTTACACAGCATCACCACGACGGGCCAGATCATTCTTTCCGGTGGGGGCTTTACCCACTAGATGCCAGGAGCACCGAGCATGTCTTCAGATATGTCCTTTGGCAACATTGTCTCCTATGAGAGCCCCTGGCACATTGTCGACTCTCAGAAAAACAGGTGTTTTTAGGGGTGTCCTTCACAGTGTGTAACGGGGACACACACACACACACACACACACACACACACACACACGGACAGACGGACCTGAGTCGCAAAAAACTCCTTAAAAACGGTTGCTGATAGAGGGAGTGAGTGAATGGATGACTGGCGCTATAGCTGGTCACCCCCACAGGCCTCCCTTGGGGTCCGAAGGCCCAGAACTGCTCCTCCTCACCCTCATGTCGTCCTGGTTTCCCCAGATTCCCCTCCAGCCACAAGCCTGGGGGTTGTCACCCCCAAAGGGTGATGCGGACCCTGAACTTGTTACCACTAGCTACCGCTCCGTGGGTCCTGACTGTGGGTCCCCGTACGCCTTCCCTGGAGGAGCTCAGGCCATCCTCACAGCTGTGGGGAGGGCGCTTTAAGTTTTCCCAAGAGACAGTCTGAGGCCCCCGAGCAAGGGGGTGTGTGTGTGGGGGGGGCAGGACCCCGATGAGGTCACCTGACTGGCTCCAGCCTCCTGGGTCCCTCTCCCTCCTGCCAAACTGCGCTCCGAGCCTTCCCCATGGGCCTAGCGCCCTTTCTCTCTGGCTCCCGGTTCCCTGGTGCTGTGCTACCCCGGGCTCCTCCGCTTCAAACCCCCTGCGCGCTGCTCCCCAGCCAGCCCCCCCCCCTGCTGCTCCCTGGGCCTGAGCGGCCCGCCCCTGCTCACCTCGTAATCCACCCCCACTCTGTTCAGGGCAATGTTGATGGTGAAGGTGGAGGCGTCGTGGTGTGGCATCAGCGAGGGCTGCTCGTCAGGCTTGTAGCGGACGACGAAGGCCAGGTCGAACTGGGCCTGTGCGGGGAGAGACAGAGCCGGCATGAGGCTGCGCAGGCCAGGAGGGCAGCTGTCCACAAGGCCCCTCAGCTTCTGCTAGACCGTCAGCTCCCGGAGGGCAGTTTACCTAATGCCGTGTTCTCCAGGGCCTGGTGCCGTGCCTGGCACAGAAAGGGCTCTCCATAAAAATGTGGGAGCCGAAACCGGTGTGGCTCAGTGGATAGAGCGCCGGCCTGCGGACTGAAGGTCCCAGGTTCTATTCCGGTCAAGGGCATGTACCTTGGTTGCAGGCACATCCCCAGTAGGGGGTGTGCAAGAGGCAGCTGATCAATGTTTCTCTCTCATCGATGTTTCTAACTCTCTATCTCTCTCCCTTCCTCTCTGTGAAAAATCAATAAAATATATATATTTTTTAAATGTGGGGAGGAAGGGAAGGACAGGAGGCAGGGAAGGAAGGAGAGAAGAGAGGGAGAGGCAGGAGAGGAGGGAAGGGAGGGAGGGAGAGAGGGAAGAGAAGGGAAGGAAGGGGGAATGAATGAATCTAATCCTCACACCCTCCCAACTATCTAGCCGGGTGGTCCCTTGAGGGCAGGGCCCAGGCACACCCAGAGCAGCTGTTTGGAGAAAACCCCGTGAACGAGGAAGTGACGAATACAGAAGCCAGAGAGACATCCACAGACACGCGAGGGAGGGAGCTAGAGGGACCGGAGGGAGGAAGGGCAGGCTGGCCCCTGACCGGGGGCTTGTCTGGTGAGCTGCCCTGGCAGCCATGGGTGCAGGGGCCAAGGACATCCAGGGAGGACTCAAATGGACAGATAATGCCAGAGGACAGAGGCAGAGTGGCCCCGCCTTCCCTGGCCCCAGCACCTGACAGAGGAGGCTCCCCTCCTGCCTAGAGGCCAGATATCCAGGCCTTCTCCCCCCTCCGCCTCTCCCCCTCCCCGGCCCCTTCCCCCCAGCCTGGTCCCGGGCACCCCGCCTGCCCACCCTGGTGTAGTAGCCGGGGTACAGCTTCTCCGTCACGGGCGCGATGTACTCCACCAGGAACTTGTGCCACTCCCGCTCAAAGCTGATCTGGTTCATGTGGATGTCGATGGTCGGCACGTTCTCGTAGCCGCCCTGGATGCGGTTGTCCTGGGAGAGACCCAGAGGGAGGTGAGCAGACAGACCTCTAAGACGGCCCGATTCCCGCCACCTGCCCCACCCCTTCCCCTCGACCTTGAACCTGATGGGATAAGGGCAAAGGTGAAGGGGTTTTGCAGGAGTAATTAAGGGAACTAGTCTGTGGACTTTGGTTGAATCAAAAGGGAGATGATGCTGGTGAGTCTTTTTTTTTTAATTTTTTATTGATTTCAGAGAGGAAAGGAGAGGGAGGGAGAGAGAAACATCAATGAGAGAGAATCATTGATCGGCTGCCTCCTGCACACCCTCTACTGGGGATTGAGCCTGCAACCTGGGCATGTGCCCTTGATCAGAATCAAACCTGGGACCTTTCAGTCTGCAGGCCAACACTCTATCCACGGAGTCAAACCGACCAGGGCACTGGGTGAGTCTTTAAAGGAGGGTCTTGGAGGCCGGCTGGTGTGGTTCAGTGGCTGAGCATTGACCAGGAGGTCACAGTTCCAATCCCAGTCAGGGCACATGCCCGGGTTGCAGGCTCAGTCCCCAGTGGGGGGCGTGCAAGAGGCAGGCAATCAATGATTCTCTCTCATCACATGTTTCTATCTCTCTCCCCTTCTCCCTTCCTCTCTGAAATTTATAAAAATATATTTTTTAAAAATAAACAAATAAAGGAGGCTCTTGGAGGGAGAATCTCCCTGCCGGCCCGGAAGAGGCCAGTCACCTTGAGCTCTGCAGCTGCAAGGAAACGCATTCTGCCAGCGAGCTTGGAATAGGACCCTGAGCCTCAGCTGAGCACGGGCCCCGGCTGACTCCCTGGCGGGGGCCCTGGGAGACCCTGAGCAGAGCACCAGCTAAGCCACACCCAGACCCCAACCCACAGAACCTGGAGGGAATACGCGGATGTTTTAAACCATGAAGCTTGGTGGTCCCTGGCTACGCAGCAGAGAAAACCCAGGAAGAGGGCACAGGTTAGCTCGGGCACGAGCGTCCCAGGAAGCCGGGGCACTGGAGCGTGAGGACCAGCCAGATCCAGAGCGCACAGGCTGTGCCGGTTACTGGTTCTGGAGCTAAGCTCCCGGACCAGTGATGAGTCAGCTGCCAGGCTGAGGTTAGCCACTCTCTGAGGCACATGTGCCTTTAACCAGGGGTCCTGGGCTCTGCAGAGGAGGGCAGGAATGGGGTTCCTCCTTAGCAGGGTGCTCGGTGGTCAGTGGTCAGTGGTTGTGGTTGGGTGATGTTGCTTCCTAATTGCTCCTCACCCACACCTGCTCACTCCTCCCCCTTTCCACGCCCAGTCGGGGAAGGAAGCCCAATCGCTGGAAGAAGAGGGACTGGAAACCTAGCACCTTAAGGTGAAGGCATCTCAAAGTCACCCTGTGGCGTGGCAGCTTAGAGACCAGCATTCCACCCCACCCCGCAGTCCCTCTACCCCTCAATGCCAGCCTCCCACCCGGAGAGTCCCAGGCAGAGAGCCCGGAGGGCGGGCCCGGGGGGAGGGGCGGCCACCCACCAGCCCCAGTCCAGGCGCCTGGAGCTCCCACCTTGTTATCGCCCATAGACCACTGGCCGAAATGCTCCATCTCCTCCACCAGCTCGTCGCAGGCCGTCTCCGTGAAGATGGGGAACCAGTAGACATCCGGGCAGGGCTGGGGAGGGTGAGGACGCGGTCACCGGGGTCCAGAGTGGCCATCCCTCATCCTCCCCCTGACCCCATGGCCCCCCGCAGAACCCGCCACGGGCAAGACCCCTTGTGTGGTCTGTGCCCTGCCCCACCCTGGTCTGACGGCTTCTGAGTGTCCCCCGAGAGTCCTCAGGGAGCCCGGACTCAGCGAGATGCTGAAGGAAGAAAGAACTGAGCTCAGAGCTGGCCAAGGTCACGGAACTACCAGTGCCAAGGCCAAAGCCACCAGTGTGTGGGCACGGAGGGAGCAGAGGCCTGCTGGCTCTGGGGTAAACATGGCCATGGTCTGCCATTGAGGCCACATTCGGGGATGCTTTTCCCCTCTTTCCTGCCTGGGCCGGAAAAGAAGCAGGAGGCCCCCCAGACTCTGCAGGTTCCAGCTGAAAAGTGCCAGCAGGAGGAAGGGGCCGCGCCTCCTCCCGGCTCAGCTAGCTTCGCCCCCCACCTCCGCCCTCTGGGTGTCTGGTCAGGTCTAAAGCCAGGAGCTTCATTCCCAGGGGCACCCCGTCCTCACCATCTCCACCAGCTTCCCCGCCAGGGCCTTGGTGTAGTTCTCGTGAATGTATTTCTCCTTCCAGTCCTGTGGGGAGGGGAAAGTGGGATGGGGTCCTGGGAACTGGCCTGGGCCAGCTGGACTCACCCCTGGCTCCACTCCACAGGATGCTCCACGAGGGCCGCCCCCCACCAGGCCACACAGGCCACAGCCCACAGCCCATGCACAGTGTGAGTGAACATCTCCATGCCTCTGTGCCTACGGGGTGCACTGTGTTGTTTGAGCGTAAAAGTGTGCCCACGGGAGCTGGTGTTTGCATAGGTATGTACACGTGTGCGTACGTGTACAGGTCTATGTGAAGATACAGGCACGGGCCCACATCAGACACAAGCCCGCAGTGTGTAAGAACACTGTCACCATTTCCTCCTCTTCTGATCACAACCTTCTCAGGGGCAAGGCAAGCTGGGACAGTGTACCCATTTTAGAGCTAAGATCACTGAGGCCCCAAAGGTTCAACTAAGGCTTAACTAAGTCACAGCTAAGGGGCCTCTGACTCCGAGTCCTTCCTCCACTAGATGGCGCTGCCCCTCTTCCTATTCAAACCTGCAGAGAGGCCACCTGGGGTGAAGGAAGAGGGGTGGCCCACAGGGTCCCAGTGTCCAGCTCTGAGAGGGAGGCAGCTCCGGCTACAGGATCACCGGGGCCCCTTCCACTCCCACCACACCCTCCACCCACCCAGGCCTCACCTCAGGGTTGCTGAACACCTCCCAGAGGTCATTGTGGAGGTGGCTGGTCTGGTAGTTGTCCAGGGAGAGCAGGTGGCCGAAGGTGTGCCGGTTGGTGAGGAACATGAACACCTCCTGGGGAGACCAGGCCGATGAGAGAGTCCCTCCCCTCACCTCCCCTGCACGCCCTGGAAGGGGCTGGGCGGCAGCCTCCTCTGCCCCCAGCTCCTCCAGACCTGACACTCGGATGCGGTCAGGGAAGGCTTCCCGGGGGACTGAATGGAATAAAAGAACGAATGTGCCCAAGAAGAGGGTGGCATTCCGATCCTGAAGCTTGGGGCACAGGAGGAAACATCAACATGCCGACACATTTTTTTAAAAGCCACAAAAAAAGCCCTGACCAGTTTGGCTCAGTGGATAGAGCATCGGCCTGTGGACTAAAGGGTCCCAGGTTCAATTCCAGTCGAGGGCATGTGCCTTAGTTGCGGGCACATCCCCAGTAGGGGGTGTGCAGGAGGCAGCTGGTCGATGTTTCTCTCTCATCGATGTTTCGAACTCTCTATCCCTCTCCCTTCCTCTCTGTAAAAAAATCAATAAAGTATATTTTATAAATAAATAAAAACCACAAAAAATATTGTGTGGGGCACAGGAACAGGGTAAGGGTGTTTTGGGGCACATTACTTGGAGGGCATTTAGATGGAAAGTTTCGTGTTTTTTTAGGTGCTGCCAACAACGTAAATAAAATAGCCGGGCCGGCGTGGTTGAGCATTGACCTATGAACCAGAAGGTCTCGGTTGGATTCCTGGTCATGGCCCATGCCTGGTTGTGGGCTCCATCCCCAGTAGGAGACGTGCAGGAGGCAGCTGATCTAACGATTCTTTTTCATCATGGATGTTTCTCTCTCTCTCTCCCTCTTCCTTCTGCTCTGAAATCAGTAACTGCGCTTCAAAAAATAAAATAGATGGTGTAAAACCTGGGTCTGCTGAAATGATCCCCGCAGACCCCGAGGACCAGCCCGCATGCCAGTGGGGCCCCCCTCCTGTGTCCCCGCCGGGCCTAGCCGCCTCTGAGCGGCCCTGCTGGGACCTCAGAAGCTCCAGGGCGTACGGTGACCAGGCAGCCCACCTCCCCCACCCACGGGGCCTCCTCCGCCCCCCGCCCCCGGGCTGACCTGCTGGCGGACGTTGGCACAGAAGGCCATGTCGGGGTCCAGCTTGCGGTGGCGGAACAGGTCTGTCTGCTGCAGCTCCGCCCGCAGCGCACTGCCCTTCACCAGGTAGACGTTGGAGATGTAGGGCACGTTCCAGACGCCCCTGGGGAGGGAGAGGAAGATGGGGGCCCGCCGGGGCCGGGGGAAGGGCATGATGGTGCTGAGCTGAGCCCCCTACCCCGGGCAATGGGCCCCGGGTAATTGCCGGGAAGTCCTTCTGTGTGTCTGACCGCAGTCTCCCTTGCTTCAATTCGGTGGGAATGTGAGGGCGGTAAGGACACGCATGTTGGGGAAGGGGGTGCTGCAAGGCCAGGAGGAAGACATGGGAGGCTGCCCCCCACCCCGCCGGCACTCACACTCGCCGCCCCTGCACGATGTCCACGTAGTCCTCGGAGCGGGCGTAGTAGCCGTCGGCACTCAGCGCGCCCCAGAAGTTGGACCACAGCCTCCCGTGGCGGGTCATCAGCGGGGCGATGACGTTCCTGAGGAAGGGGGCGCCTCAGAGGGGTCCCCCTGCCCGCCGGAGTCTGGGGCGGGTCTAACTGGGGGTGGGGAAGGGCGGGGGGGTCCGTTTCAACCTGCAAGCACCTCCCTGGGGCAGGGCCTGGAGGTGGCCCTGGCCCATCGGATAGCTTTCCCCTCCCTCAGGGCAGCCAAGAACAGAGCGTGAGAGGGGGGGGGGGGGTGGCTTAGGGCTTATGGCAGAGGAGAGGGGAGGAGGGACATCCTAGGCCAGTGGTCGGCAAACTCATGAGCCAGCAGAGCCAAATATCAGCAGCACAACGATTGAGACTGCTTCTGAGAGCCACGTGTTTTAAACTTACACTCCTTCTAACGCCACTTCTTCAACATAGACTCGCCCAAGGCTGTGGCATTTTGTGGAAGAGCCACACTCAAGGGGCCAAAGAGCCACCTGTGGCTCAAGAGCCGCAGTTTGCCGACCACGGTCCTAGACCAAGACAAGGTTGCCACGCGGGGGCAAGCTCAGGGTAGTCTGTGAGGCGGGGAGGAGGACACAGGCAGGGGAGGGCTCCCAGCTGGGGCCCGGGCCTAACGGGGCAATGCCAGCCCAGGAGCCCCGCTCTCAGGGCCCATCTGCCTGCCAGCCGCAGCCCACCCACAGCCTCACTTGTTCTGCTCAATCAGCAGCCGCAGGATTTGGGGCTCGGTCAAGGCCACGTCGGCATCCACGCTGAAGTAGTAGGTACAGCCGAGATCCTGCCGGCACAAGTCCCTGCAGGCGGGGGGATGCAGGCTCCGTGGGGGTGGGGCTCCAGTGCTGACCTCCCCACCCAGGGTCACGGGGCTCCCGGCAGCTGCACTCGCCACCCCAGCCCGCCCTGCGATCACCAGGGACCGGCCACGGGTCTTCAGAGAGGCTGACCGCCTGGTGCAGGCTGGGACCAGCAGCCTCGAAGGCCCCTCCCAATTCCAAGGCCCAAACCCTGAGGCAGATCCCAAACTTGCAAGATGAAGGCCCGGAGCTTGACAGCTGGTACCCAGCGCCCCGAAAACCCTGGTACCGGGGACGCACCGCCCACAGACAGGCTCCCACCGTGCCCAGGGCCAGGGGCCAACTGGTTGTGCCTTCTTCCTCTAGGGTGTCTGGGTACTTGTATCAAAGCCTTCACTAATGCCAAAACCGGTGTGGCTCAGTGGATAGAGCGTCCGCCTGCAGACTGAAAGGTCCCAGGTTCGATTCCGGTCAAGGGCATGTACCTCGGTTGCGGGCACATCCCCAGTGGGGGATGTGCAGGAGGCAGCTGATCGATGTTTCTCTCTCATCGATGTTTCTAACTCTCTATCCCTCTCCCTTCCTCTCTGTAAAAAAATCAATAATATATATATATATTTTTTTTAAAAAGTCTTCACTAAGACTCACGATCCAGATCCAGCCCCCTGCCTGGTTTCGCGTGGCTCCTGAGCTAAGAACAGTTCTACATTTTTAACTGGTTGGGGGAAAGAATCTACGCTGCGTGAGAGTCACAGAAATTCAGACGTCAGTGTCCATAAATAAACTCTGGTTGGAGCCCAGCCACGCTCACGCACGCTACACCAGCCACGCTGCTGAGCCCACTAAGCTGGTCTGCACAGAGTCACAACCTAGTCCTTCATGGGAAGGCGGCCAACCACGGACCTGGGCAGTCCGATTCTTCCAGTCAGCGTGCATTACGAGGGAACCGGAGGTTATCTCTCACGCTGTCAGCATTTGTTGACTTCCGGTCCTCCTGTCCTTCCTCTCTCAGATTTGCTTCCGAAACGCTGACACTGCTCAGCCCCAGCCAATTGCAGGACGGAGGCTTGTTTCCCATCTGACAGATGGGAACACCGAGGCCCAGAGAGGGGCAGGGCCCTGCCGGAGACCACCCACCCAGCCTTCCGAACTCCCGCCTCCCGGTCTGGGGCTCCGGACACGGTGGCCCCTCTGCCCGCCACCGTCAGCAGAGACGACCATGCCTCCCTGACCCCCCACTCACGCGCCCATGTTCCTGGCATCGGCGTTCGCCACCTGCATCTCGGGGCCCAGCAGCTTCACGGACTGGTACTCGCCGCCATGCTCCGCCAGGAACCGCTCCACCTGAGCCTTGTGGTGCTGCTCCTGGGGAGGGTGTTGAGGATGAAGATGAGGATGAGGGGCCACCGCACCTTCTGCCACTGCAGGCTGGCTGCGCCCCCCCATTCCTGGCACCTCCCTGGCCACCTGCTTCCCTAAACTGCACGCCTTTGCCAGGCCAGACCTTCTGCCTGGAATGCCCTCCCTGGCCACCCTCCCCTGCCCAGGTCAGGTCCACTGGTCTCTTCAGAGCCTCTGTCATCAGGACAGCACCCCCCACCCACAGGCCTCACACCCAGATCATAGATTCCGCTGGGCCCGTGGTCGGCAAACCGCGGCTCGCAAGCCACACACGGCTCTTTGGCCCCTTGAGTGTGGCTCTTCCACAAACTACCATGGCCTGGGTGAGTTCATGTTAAAGAAGTGGCGTTAGAAGAAGTTTAAAAATTTTTGCTCTTGTCGAAACTGGTTTGGCTCAGTGGATAGAGCGTCGGTCTGCGGACTGAAAGGTCCCAGGTTCGATTCCAGTCAAGGGCATGTACCTTGATTGAGAGCACATCCCTGGTGGGGGGTGTGCAGGAGGCAGCTGATCGATGTATCTCTCTCATTGATGTTTCTAGCTCTCTGTCCCTCTCCCTTCCTGTCTGTGAAAAATCAATAAAATATAATTTTAAAAAATAAATAAATAAAAAATTTTGCTCTCTCTCTCTCTCTCTCTCTCTCTCTCTCTCTCTCTCTCTCTCTCCCTGACCGGTTTGGCTCAGTGGATAGAGCGTCAGCCTGTGGACTGAACAGTTCCAGGTTCGATTCCAGTCAAGGGCATGTACCTTGGTTGCAGGCACATCCCCAATGGGGAGTGTGCAGGAGGCAGCTGGTCGATGTTTCTCTCTCATCGATGTTTCTAACTCTCTATCCTTCTCCCTTCCTCTCTGTAAAAAAAAAAAAAAAAATCAATAATATATATATATATATATTTTTAAATTGGCTCTCAGAAGAAATGTCAATCATTGTACTGTTGACATCTGGCTCTGCTGACTCATGAGTTTGCCGACCACTGCGCTGGGCCACCCGGCAACCCTGCCCAGCCCCTCTGCTCACGTGGTTGTGGATGAAAAGCCGCATCCGTTTCCGGGGATAGTGGAGGCGCAGGAGCCGCTTGAAGAACAGGGACAGGAACGGCGTGGGCTGCTCGATGAACACGCCCACCAGGACCGAGGGGAGAGCTTCGTCCTGCGTGGAGAGGGGGCAGCAGAGTCCAGCCAGCGAGCCACCTCCGAGCCAGGGGCCTATGGCCCTAGCAGGCTCGGGGCTTGGGCAGGGAGCTCTGAGGAGGATGGGCAGGTGGACAGAGGCAGAGACTGGCAGGGAGGCAGGAGGCGGCCCCTGCTGGGGACCAGGAGGAGCGTGGGCCCTGACTCAGTGGGTGCGAGGACGCGTTGATGGCAGACTGTTGGGGAGCTTGGGGTTTGATGTGGGGCCACCGGTGAGGAAGAAGGTTTGTGGGATGGGGACGCGGCTGCAGGAGAGCCTGAACGACCAGGCAGAAAAACTGGAACACGGGCATCGGGGGAAACGTGGAGCCATGTGCAGTCTGAGAAGGCTTCCGGGAGGAGGTGCCCGGCGAGGAGCAGGACGGAACACCAGACAGGGAGGTAATCCCTCTACCTCCTGCCAAAGACTCGCGTCTCTTCCAGAATCACCCATCTCCCCCCCCCCCCCCCGGCTTCCGGAGGCCTTACCCCGATGCCCTTGAGGCTCCGTAGGCCCTCGTCACACACAACGCAGCCCGTCTCGAAGGTCCAGAAGCGCGGGATGTAGTTGCCCAGGTAGTTCAGCTGCAGCTGTGGGGGACGAGGGGTCTGAGCGGTGCCCGTCTCCCCACCCCCCTGCAGCCACGGCGGCCTCTCTTCCTGGGCCCCAGCCCACTGCACCCGGGACGGAGCAGAACGGGACCTTATTCTGGGTGGGCCTCGAAGAGAGCATGCTCATGCCCTGGGGATCCCACCGCTGAGGGAGGGCTTGGCGCCCTGGTGCTTTTCCATCTCTGGATGGGCCCAGAGCTTGTAAAATGCAGGTTCCCAGGCCCCGCCCCTTCGAGATTCCCATTGGCCAGCTTGTGGGCGGGGAAGGGAATTCTGCATTTTAACACATCCCCCTTCCTCTCCCTTCCATGGATTCTGATTGGGGTGGTTGAGGACCTGTCAGTCAGAGAACTGTGGTGTGAATGGGGGAGGGGAGGATGGGGCCCAGTTCCCCAGGGGCCCGTCCGTAGCTCCAGGAGCATGGGGACCCGCCTGTCCTGTCCATGGCCGACCAGGCCTCAGGCCCTGGTGCAAACGTTCAATAAATATTTCTTAAAGGAACAAGCGAGCCAGCTCCGGGGGGCGGCGGAGTGTGGGTGACTTGGGGCCGCCGAGCCTGGGCCTGGGTGGGGCAGTGGCTTCCTTTGTGCCCTGCAGTCCAGCAGGAGAGACAGGGCATCAGCGACCATCGCCGCAGGAAAGAGGCTCCCCGCTGAACTCAGATCTGAGGGCCAGGCCTACAAGCTCTCGGGCACGAGGTGGGTGGCCCTGGCCCCAAGGAGAAGCTGACCCCCGCCCGCCTCCCCCCCCGCCCCCGCTCCCCAGGACCTGGGGGGCCCCCCCTACCTTGGTGGGTCCGTTGCCATGAATCAGGACTGGGAGGGTGTCGTAGGCTAGGTTCCGAGCTCGAACGTGGCCCATTTCAAACTTCAGCACAACCTCATCTGGGGACGAGAAACCACAGCGCCACCCAGCGTCAGGCCCAGAGGCCAAACTCCGGGGCTGGCAGGCAGGACTCAATCCCCAAGGAGCAGGGGATGCCCGTACGTTAGCATTTCACTTCTCCGGGCCTCAGTTTCCTCATCTGTAAAATGGGGGTAGGAGTGGGAGGACTGCCTGTCCAGTGAGCCCTTAGTGCCATGCCGGGCACAGGGTGAGCACGGAATCCACAGAGACCCACGCTCGTTACTGTGATTACTGAGGAGAGCTGGGAGCCGGGGATGGGAGGAAGTGAAGGCTGAAATATCGCGGCTCCACACGCAGCTCAGAGGCCCCACAGGCAGGGTCTGGGAGGTGCCCGCTCTGACAGGCATGCAGGGCAGCCCCGCGTACATGCCAGCGACACAGGGAGGCCCGGGAGGGACAGGGGACAGATGCTGCCTGGTAGAGAGAGCCCTAATCCCCACGCGAGGACCCTCTTCGTCTGCACGTAAGACAGGAAGCTGTCTTGATGGACAGCTATAGAACCCAGAGCAGCCTTTTCCAAGGCCTGAGAAATGCTGGGGAGGGAGGGCTTTGTGGGCTGACCATGGGAGGGGAGCCCCTCTGTGCCAGCACCGGCCCCCCACGGGGTGACTTGGGCCAGTTTATTAACCTGGACTCATGAACTCCCAGAAGCCACAGCAAAAGGGTGTGATGGTCCCGCACCTTCCTGGCGGAGGGCCATGGCTTTGCTTGGATTCTCCAAGGGCCCCGTTTATACCATAAATTCACCCATCAGTGATCTGGTCCAGCTTCTCATTTTTAAAGATAGGGAAACCGCCGAAACCGGCGTGGCTCAGTGGATAGAGCGTCAGCCTGCAGACTGAGGGGTCCCGGGTTTGATTCCGGTCAAGGGCATGTACCTTGGTTGTGGGAACATCCCAAGTGGGGGGGGGGGGGGGTGCAGGAGGTGGCTGATCAATGTTTCTCTCTCATCGATGTTTCTAACTTTCTATCCCTCTCTCTTCCTCTCTGTGAAAAATCAATAAAATATATATTTTTTTAAATAAAATAAATAAAGATGGGGAAACTGAGGCCTGAGGTGTGTGAATATGTGTCTGGCCTGAAGTCACCCAGCAAGCTAGTGGCAAAGCAATGCCGTCCCCAGCCAGAGGTTTGGGGTCAGCCCAAGGGCGTTTGTAGTTTCAAGAACCAACTGGCCTTCACTTTCCAACTCCCTGCCAGGTCAGTCCCTGCCCCCAGGCCAGGGAGCCTTCAGCGGGGAGGTGGAGGGCAGGGGAAGGAGGGGAAGCCCTCTGTGCAAGCTCCTGGCCCCCCGGGGCGTCAGGGGCAGGTGGGCACCTGCTGTGTGCATTACCAGGCTCCGGCTGCTTCCCTGCCCCGGTGGTGGGTGAATTCGGTAAGCTGATCTCGTGACCCTCCTCTCTCCACCCGCAGGGACATACAGCTCTGCCCCAGGACACCAGGTGGCGTCGGAGGCCCTGGGGATGAGGCCAGCGACCCCCCAGCACAACCCCCAGAGAGGAACCCTCCCTCTCTCCCCCGCGGGCTCAGGCCCTGCCTGGATCCTCCTCTCCTCTCCACCCCCTCCCTGTGGGGACTGCTCACCCAGGGCTCCGTCCAGGTTCTGGAAGATGCGGCAGCGGTGGTCCAGGGTGATGTTGATCCGCTCCTGCAGGAGACAGGGCGCCAGGCTGCATCAGGGACAGGCCCTGGCAAGGATAGGGCTCCATGGCACCCACTGCGGGCAGCCTGCCTCCACCTCTGCCTCTTCCTCCCCATGTCCGCTTTGCCCGGCGCACCAGGCCAGCTGGGAGCCCTGGGAAGGCCGGCCAGTGGCCACACCCCTGGAATCCCCCCTGGCTGAGTGGCCCCCTTTCCAGAGAACCAGGGGCTCTCAGCACTGGAAGGAATCTAAGGAAACAGCAGGCCCCACTGCAACAAGCACCCTAATAATAACATTGTCTAACTGAAACCAGTTTGGCTCAGTGGATAGAGCATCGGTCTGCGGACTGAAAGGTCCCAGGTTCGATTCCGGTCAAGGGCATATACATTGGTTGTGGGCACATCTCCAGTAGGGATTGTGCAGGAGGCAGCTGGTCGATGTTTCTTTCTCCTCAACATTTCTAGCTCTCTATTCCTCTCCCTTCCTGTTTGTGGAAAATAAAGAAAAATATTTAAAAAATAAAATAACACTGTCTAGTACCTGATTGTGTGCCAATCGCTCTTCTAAGTGTTCTATCCACATTAATTAATTTAACCTGCACAGCATCCCCCTGGGGAAATCCCATCATGGCTGCATTTGAGATTTAAGAAACAAGGCACAGAGAGGTTGGGTAACTTGCCCAAGGTCACACAGCTCGTAAGTAGCTGACTGGCATCTGAACCCAGGTAACTTGGCCCCGAAGTCCCTGTTCATGGGCACAATGCTGCCTGTCCCACTCCACTGTGTCTCCTGGAGCCAAGGCCAGGCCGAGAACGGGCAAGGGGCACCACTCTAGGCTTCGCCCTCATCCCAAGCAGAGCAGTTCCATTTTTATGGCTCAGTCCCGGGCTTCTGTGGGGATGTCACTGGAGGCAAAGGGGAAGGAGGAAGGATGCATTAACAAAAAGTTTGTAGCCAAAACCGGTTTGGCTCAGTGGATAGAGCATCTGCCTGTGGACTAAAAGGTCCCAGGTTCGATTCCCGCAACCTTGGTTGCGGGCACATCTCCAGTGGGAGGTGTGCAGGAGGCAGCCAATCAATGTACCTCTCTCATCGATGTTTCTAGCTCTCTATCTCTCTCCCTTCCTCTCTGTAAAAAATCAATAAAATATATTATTTAAAAAAAAGTTTATAGTTTCCATTGTACAGACCTTGCTGCTCCATTTCATCATTCTGTTGGATGATTAAAAACTTGCCCAGAGAGGGGAAGTGAATGACCCTAGGTCACACAGCACAACATGGATGGAGGATGGGGAAGTAAGCAGAGCAGAATCCAGGAATCCTGACACTTAAGAGCACCCTGAGTTTCCTGTCTACCCAGAGGCTCCTGGCTGGGCCTGGGGCTGCACTGGCCTGGTTCTAGTATCTCCGCTCCCCTCCATGACCCCTGCCCCTTTAAGACAGGCTCAGCAGTGGCCCGTCAGGCTTTCATCAGCCCCCCAAGAGCCCTCCAGCACAGTGGGCAGCTCAGCCTGTCATCTTTTCATCCCCATCGCCATCAACTGACATGGGTTGTAAATCCCTGTCTCCCCACTTGGGGCAGGAGGGCACAGAACCCAACTCTCTTGTTTGTTGCCATTTCCCAGCCCTGCCCCACACAGTGGGCGCCCCATCAAGATCTGCTGAGTAAACGGGTGAATCGATGAATGGAGAAATGGGGGTGTCAAGGCCAAGCCAGGGATTTAAGACCTGCAGGGGCTGCTCCCTGGGCAGCCTGGCCCAGGGGATCAGGTCTCCCCAGCCCCACCTGCTGACTCTTACCCTCTTCTCCTTGTCCAAGAAGACCTTGGTGTAAAAGAGCTGGTCGCTGTCACCGTCCTGGCCCTCCCATTCGGCCACCAGCTTGCTGAGGCTGGGGGCATAACCCATGAAGCCTGGATGAGGGTTCACAGAAACAGATGCTTAGCTTCCAGCCTCCAAGCGAGGGGCCTCTTCCCAGCCTCCGCTCTCCTCCATTTCCTACTCCTTTATCCACAAGCCCTGCCTCCTCTCAGAAGTCCTCCTAGATTGAGAGGAGGTGATGTCTACAGGCTGGGCACAGCCTGCCAGTTTGTGTCATTTAATGCCAGTTCCCGCCGAGCTCAGAGCAGAAGATCAATGGTGCCCACTGAATTGTACCGGCTTAGGTGCTGGGCACCACCCAGATGGTGAATGAATGGACTGCACCAGGAGTTCCTAGAGAGCAGAGCTGGTGGGAAACGTGGCCCATAGAAGGGCAGAGGCTGGGCCAAGGTTACACATGGGGGCTTAACGGGAAAAACCCACACAGATCCCTGCCATGGGGAAGGCTGGTGAGAGAAGGTGGGAAATGGAAGAAGGTGGGCAGCCAGGGAGGGCCCTGCCCCAGGGGACATTGTACCCCAGGGCCAGGGCCAGGCCATTTGGACTGTGCCAACTCTCTCGGCTGGTGGGAAAAAGTGGCTTCTGGCCGAAACTGGTTTGGCTCAGTGGTAGAGCATCGGTCTGCGGACTGAAAGGTCCCAGGTTCGATTCCGGTCAAGAGCATATACATTGGTTGCGGGTTCATTCCCAGTAGGGGATGTGCAAGAGGCAGCTGGTCGATGTTTCTCTCTCATCCATGTTTCTAGCTCTCTATCTCTCTCTCCTCCTCTCTGTGAAAAATCAATAAAATATATATTTAAAAAAAGGAAAGAAAGAAAAAGTGGCTTCTGTGGCTGGACAGAGAAATCCAGAATAAAATAGGGATCTTATGCTCTGCAGTGGGAAGCCACTGAGTGATGAGCGTGGATTTGCCTCTGGCTGCTGGGCAGAGAATGGACTGGAAGTGGGAGGGCGGAGCTGGCAGAACAGTGTGGAGACTTATAGGTGCCAGGAGCCCAGTGAGGCAATGGCAATGGGTGTGGACCTCAGAGGGCAGATTTGGGAGGTATTTTTTTTATCCTCACCAGAGGATATGTTTATTGTTTTAGAGAAAGAGGATGGAGGGCGGGGTGGAGAGGGAGAGAGAGAGAGAAAAAAACAACATTGATCGCTTGCCTCTCATATGCTCCCCAACTGGGAATCCAACCTACAACCTTTTGGTATATGGGACCACGATTCAACCAACTGAGCCACCTGGCCAGGGCAAGAGATCTTTAGAAATGGGAGTCATGTGACGCACCAAAGGACTGAGGTGGGGGAGGGCAGGTTTCGCCCTATGCCAATGGGTGGCTGTCAATGAGATTAAAAAGGTGGTGGAGAGGGCCAAAACCGCTTTGGCTCAGTGAATAGAGCATCGATCGGCCTGCGGACTGAAAGGTCCCAGGTTGGATTCTGGACAAGGGCTTGTGCTTTGGTTGTGGGCACATCCCCAGTACAGGGTGTGCAGGAGACAACTGATTGATTATTCTCTCTCATCAATGTTTCTAGCTCTCTGTCCCTCTCTTCCTCTCTGTAAAAAATCAAATTAAAAAAAAAAAAATATGGGAGGGAGGGCGGAGTTTAAGGATTAAAGAATCAGGAATTCCCTCTAGCTGATTTGGCTCAGTGAATAGAGCATGGGCCTCCAGACTGAAGGGTCCCAGGTTCGATTCTGACCAAGGGCACATGCCTGGGTTGCGGGCTTCATCCCCAGTAGGGGGCGTGCAGGAGGCAGGCGATCAATGATTCTCTCTCATCACTGATGTTTCTCTTTCTCCCTCTCCCTTCCTCCCTAAAATCAATAAAAATATTTTTTAAATAATAAAAATAGCTGAAACCGGTTTGGCTCAGTGGATAGAGCGTTGGCCTGCAGACTGAAAGGCCCCAGGTTCCATTCGGGTCCAGGGCATGTACCTTGGTTGCAGGCACATCCCCAGTAGGGGGTAGGCAAGAGGCAGCTAATCAATGATTCTCTCTCATCAATGTTTCTAACTCTCTATCCCTCTCTCTTCCTCTCTGTAAAAAATCAATAAAAAATATTTTTAAAAATAATAATAATAATAAAAATAAAGAATCAGGAATTCTACTCAGGAGAGCCTGTGGTTGGGACATGAGGGACATGTCCCTCATGGAGCCTGCGGAGGATTCCTCTGAGCCTGCCCAGCCCCGCCACAGCCCCTCACCTCCGGAGCCCAGGAACCTCTTGCCGTCGGCCACCGCCGGGTACTTGGCCTCCAGCCTGCGGTCGGGGTAGATGAGCTCCTCGGCCGAGAAGACCACCTGGCTCCGGGCCTGCCGGAACTTCTTCAGGAGCTCCCGGGGCCCCGAGGCGAACACCACGTCGTAGCTGCAGCGGAGCCAGGAGAAGACGGGCAGAGGTGAGCGGGCGTGAGGAGAGGGCCCAGGACCTGCATCGAAGCTTCTACAACCCCCTGCTCCCAGGCTAGGGACCGGATCTGCTCTACCAGCCCTGGCCCTGCCCGCCATGTTTCCACCCCCACCCAGGACAGAGAGATGGTCCCCATAACCCGTGCCCTTCTCCCACTCAGAGCATGGCTCGTCATCCCGGGGCAGGTCCCCACCCATCTTTTCACCAAGATCGGGAGTCTCTCCTGGGATACGCAGACCCCCTGAGACTTAGACAAGCTTAGCTAGAGCAATCTCCCATTTCAGATGTCCTGGGAGAACCTCAATTTAAAATATTCCTCTAGCCAAAGCCGGTTTGGCTCAGTGGATAGAGCGTCGGCCTAAAGACTGAAAGGTCCCAGGTTCGTTTCCAGTCAAAGGCATGTATATTGGTTGAGGGCACATCCCCAGTGGCGGGTGTGCAGGAGGCAGCTGGTCGATGTTTCTCTATCATTGATGTTTCTAACTCTCTATCCCTCTCCCTTCCTCTCTGTAAAAAATCAATAAAATATATTTTAATATATATATATATATATTTCCCTAGCCCGGCTGATGTGGCTCAGAGGTTGAGCATTGACCTAAGAACCAGGAGGTCACGGTTTGATTACTGGTCAGGGCATGTGCCCGAGTTGCAGGATCGATCCCCAGTGTGGGGCGTGCAAGAGGCAACTGAGTCTCTCTCATCCTTGATGTTTCTATCTCTCTCCCTCCCCCTTCCTCTCTGAAATCAATAAAAAAAATACATATTTTAAATTTTTAATAAAAAATCTTCCCCTATCTCCCTGCCGAGGGACCCATCCAGGTGGTCCCTGGCCACTGACCTGTCTGTGAAGAGAATGACCAGGTTCTCCTTGTCTGCATGCTTCTCCAGAGCCTTCTTCAGCAGCCGGACCTTCAGCCCTCCGCCCGCCGACGTTGCCTTCTCTCCAGGCCAGTCCTCCCCCAGGCCCAGTGCCTGCGGAGAAAGGCCCATTAAAGATGGCCAAGCGATGGTTGCGGGTGTATCCCCAGTAGGGGGTGTGCAAGAGGCAGCTGGTCGATGACTCTCTCTCATCGATGTTTCTAGCTCTGTATCTCTCTCCCTTCCTCTCAGTAAAAAATCAATAAAATATATTTAAAAAAAAAAAAAAAAAAAAAAAAAAAAAGATGGCCAAGCGACCATGTGCAACAGTCTGCGTCCCATCCCTCCTTCTCCCATAGCCATGGTGTGAGCATGTGACCAAGAAGAGCCTATCAGAGTCTTCCCTGGGACTGTAATATTAAAATTAAGGAAAGACTGCCTTTTTCCGCTGAGGTTGAGAAGCCGGTGGCCATCTTGCCACCACGTAGGGAGAGCATGTCTGCAAATGAAAACAAGCAGGGCCTGAAGACAAAGACTTTGCTGTACTTGAACCCCAGATCCAGCTGTGCCTGAAGCAATAAACATACTTCAAATCTCATTTCTGTGAGCGGACACGCTTCCTTTCTGGCTTAATGCCGCTCGATTGCCAGTGGGATAGGCAGAGACGTGGCTTGTGTTGTCCATCATCCCTGGTGCCTACCATGGTGCCCAACACAAGGAGGCACTCAGCACGCTCAGCTAAATGGATACATGCCTCCCTGTGGGCTCAGCCCTAGGGGCCAGACACAAAGGACACACCCCTATGACTCCGTGGACTGGCCACAGCTTCAGAGGCGTGTTTGCACAGTAAGGTCTCCAGACTGTGGGCATTCCCCAAACCATCCCGGGAAGCTATGCCCACTAACCTAGCCACTCCCCTGCTCCCCGAGAGCCCAGCCGCACTACACTGAGCACCCCCACACACCTCTCAGTCTCACTCTCCCCACACTCTCCACCTCCAGCCCCTCGTGGGTTTTGCTCATGTCTTTCTCCCTCTTGCTTTTCCTAACGCACTTACAACGTTCAGGCTTCCAGCAGATCCCCCTGTGGCTCCATGTCGGTTGGGGAAGGTGGACACCCAGCTCCTGGACTCCCCCCTCCCCTCCTCGGGTGTCTCTGCCCCACCTGGGGAGACCCGGTACCTGGATCTTGTAATTGAAGAACTGGGCGGAGCGCTTGAAGCGTCGGAACCCCTCGGTCTCCTTCGTGGCCACCGTGAGAACTAAGAGGTTGTCTGGGGACAGAGAAGGGCGGGGTGAATGGGATGGAGGATGAGGGCAGGGGACAGGGAGGGCCAGGTCACGGTTCTTGTCAAATCCCACAGGCCGTGTCCCCATTTCCATTAGAGACAAGAGCCCAAGGCCCAGGTAGGAAGGGGTGTGCTGTGCCCAAGGTCACCCAGCTGGTTAGTGACAGAGCTGGGATGTCACCTGTGGTCTCCAGCCTCTCCTGCAGGGCTCCCTTCACCCGTCACTGACCAGCACGACAGGAAGTGTCTCGAGCAGAGGTGTCTGCATCTTGCACTGTGGGACTGGGCCTTTCTGGCTTTATTTATTTATTTATTATTTTTTATTTTTTATTGATTTTTTTACAGAGAGGAAGGGAGAGGGATAGAGAGCTAGAAACATTGATGAGAGAGAGACATCGACCAGCTACCTCCTGCACACCCCCCACCGGGGATGTGCCTGCAGCCAAGGTACATGCCCTTGACAGGAATCGAACCTGGGACCCTTCAGTTCACAGGCCAATGCACTATCCACTGAGCCAAACTGGTTTCGGCCTCTCTGGCGTTAGGGGCTCTGGGCCAGCCACAGGGCAGAGGGAAGGATTCACTCCAGATGCTGAATTCTGGGAAGACCTCTCCGGCCCACATGGGACATCAGCCCAGACAGAGGCAGCACCACTATCCACACAGCACCCAGAGCAGACATTGCTAATCGACTCCTACAGACTTTCTAGCCGAGTCTCACTCCTTGGATTCTCCCAACAGCATAACCAATGAGAGTCAGCGAGGCATGGAGGAAATCAACTTGAAATCCTGGCCGTTGACCAGAGCAGCTGTGTTACCTTTTTGTGTTTGTTGGTTAAATCCTCACCTGAGGATATTTTCCCCATGGATGTTCAGAGAGACTGGAAGGGAGGGGGAGAGACAGAAACATCGATGTGCGAGAGACACATGGATCGGTGGCCTCCCCCGTGTGGTCACCTGGAGCTGAGATTGAACCTGCAACCCAGGTATGTGCCCTTCACCGGGAACTTTTGGTGTTTGGGTGGCGGATGCTCTAACCACTGAACACACTGGCCAGGGCTGTAGTACTTCTTTAGCAATGGGCCTCTCCCAGGCTCAGTAGTGCAGCTTCCCCTCTACAATGGAGCCCATGGGAAAGGACTCCCCGGAAAGCATCTCTGGGAGCCCTGGGGAAGCCCCTCCCGGACTCACACTTGGAGGCTGAATCCTCTGAGGAGTAGTGAGGGCTCTGGTCCAAAATCCCAGCTACGTGACCTTGGGCGAGTCCCTGACCTTTCTGCCTTCAGGTTCTCCCTTGTAGAATAGGGATTAATAGCTGAGACCGGTTTGGCTCAGTGGATAGAGAATTGGCCTGCGGACTGAGGGGTCCCTGGTTCAATTCCGCTCAAGGGCATGTGCCTTGGTTGCGGGCCCATCTCTGGTGGGGGGTGTGCAGCAGGCAGCTGATCAATGTTTCTCTCTCATTGATGTTTCTAACTCTCTATCCCTCTCCCTTCCTCTCTGTGAAAAATCAGTAAAATATATTTTAAAAATAAAAAAAAAATGGAGAGGAGGATCCAAGATGGCTGCTCGGGTAGACATCTAGCCGCGGCAGCACACAACAATTTCAATGGAATACAACTAAAATGTAGAGTGGACATTGCCCAGAGCTACAGGTAGTCGACTGACTGAAATTTCTACAACAAGAAGGAAAGAGAAAACCAGAAAGAAAATCAGAGGAGCTGAAAAAAAGCCTAAGGTACGGAGACATGCTGCGCGCGCCTGCCCGCCCGCACGCGCGCACGGAGAGGTCGCAGCCAGAGAGGAGGAGAGGGCGGGGAGCCGCCTTTCCTTCCCTAGCAGGAAGGAAATAAAACCTCCACCCTGGGCTGAACCCCCGAACCGGCAGCGCTGAGCCCCCCCGAACCAGCAGCGCTGAGCCCCAGTTATGGGCCAGACCCTGGGGACCCAGGCTCCGGCGGGAGGAGACGGAGCCGTGAGGCGGAAAACGGCGAAAGGCAGGGCCCCGGGAGTCGCGCGCAATGCGCGCAGAGGACTGAATGTTGACTCTGAAGCTGGGTTGCCCTAGCCGGAAGAAACAAGGCCTCCGGCGGCGCTGAGCCTCAGTCCGGACTGCTCTGAACCCCAGTTCTGGGCCAATCCCTGGGAACCCAGGCTCAGGCAGAGGGAGACGGGGCTGTGAGGTGGAGTCCGGGGAGAGCAGCGAAAGGCCGGGCCCCCGGGACTCGTGCAAACTGCGCGCAGAGGACAGTCTGTGGGACTCGCGCAAACTGCGCGCAGAGGACAGTCTGTGGGACTCGCGCAAACTGCGCGCAGAGGACAGTCTGTTGACTCTGATGCTGGACTTCCCTAGCGGGAAGGAGAAAAAAAAAGCTCTAGGCTGGGGGAACGCGGAGGGGAGCGGAAGCCCCTGCCGGACTCCAGCCAACCGGGCACCAGCAAGGAGGCGGGCCACGGGGCCCCTGGGGGCGTGAGTGCCCTGAGCCTTTGACCACTGAGCTCGGGCAATGGAGCCAAGGCCGGGGGCTGCTTCCTGGGCGGCGCCGTCCCGGCAACAGGCTGAAGCAGCACAGGAGCCCGCGCAGAACAAAGGGGTGCCACAGGCCAACCTGCTGAGCTCCCAGGACAAGGAGGAAGAAACCAAAGAAGTTCTCAATGTGAAGAAATCAAGTGAGAGCAAACAATAGTAAAATTACTTAAGAAAGAATATGAAGAAGATCTTGAAAAATCAAAGACCAAGTCAGAACTCAACTCACCAGCCAACATTGCAACATAAATGCGTTTTAAAAAGAAAAAAAAAAAGGACAGAATGTTGGAACAGCGACGGCCAGGCCTAGAGTGGCCAGGCACAAGGCAGTGGCAGCCAGACCCGGAGCAGCAACGGCCAGGCCCCAGAACAACAGCAGCCAGAACCAGACCATCAACAGCCAGCACTGGAGTAGCCAGACCTGGGGCAGTGGCAGCCAGGCATGAGGCGGAGGCGGCCAAGCCCAGGGTGGCCAGTCCAGGAACATCCAGACCCGGAGTGGCCGGGCCCGGAGAAGCCGGGCCCAGAGCAGCCGGGATGGGAGCAGCCAGACCCAGAACAGCAGTAGCCAAGCCCAGAGCATCCAGGTTGGGAGTGGCCAGGCTCGGAGCAGCCGGGTCCGGGGCAGCCGGGCCCAGAGCAGCCGGGTCAGGTGCGGCCAGGCCCGGAGCAGCAGCTGCCAGGCTGGGAGCGGCCAGGCCCGGGGGAGCAGCCGGGTCGGGTGCGGCCAGGCCCGGAGCAGCGGCTGCCAGGCTGGGAGCGGCCAGGCCCGGGGGAGCAGGCGGGGCTGGTGCGGCCAGGCCCGGAGCAGCGGCTGCCAGGCTGGGAGCGGCCAGGCCCGGGGGAGCAGCCGGGTCGGGTGCGGCCAGGCCCGGAGCAGCGGCTGCCAGGCTGGGAGCGGCCAGGCCCGGGGGAGCAGGCGGGGCTGGTGCGGCCAGGCCCGGAGCAGCGGCTGCCAGGCTGGGAGCGGCCAGGCCCGGGGGAGCAGGCGGGGCGGGTGCGGCCAGGCCCGGAGCAGCGGCTGCCAGGCTGGGAGCGGCCAGGCCCGGGGGAGAGGTGGGTCGGGTGCGGCCAGGCCCGGAGCAGCGGCTGCCAGGCTGGGAGCGGCCAGGCCCCGGGGAGCAGGCGGGTCGGGTGCGGCCAGGCCCGGAGCAGCGGCTGCCAGGCTGGGAGCGGCCAGGCCCGGGGGAGCAGGCGGGGCTGGTGCGGCCAGGCCCGGAGCAGCGGCTGCCAGGCTGGGAGCGGCCAGGCCCGGGGGAGCAGCCGGGTCGGGTGCGGCCAGGCCCGGAGCAGCGGCTGCCAGGATGGGAGCGGCCAGGCCCGGGGAGCAGGCGGGTCGGGTGCGGCCAGGCCCGGAGCAGCGGCTGCCAGGCTGGGAGCGGCCAGGCCCGGGGGAGCAGGCGGGTCGGGTGCGGCCAGGCCCGGAGCAGCGGCTGCCAGGCTGGGAGCGGCCAGGCCCGGGGGAGCAGGCGGGTCGGGTGCGGCCAGGCCCGGAGCAGCGGCTGCCAGGCTGGGAGCGGCCAGGCCCGGGGGAGCAGGCGGGTCGGGTGCGGCCAGGCCCGGAGCAGCGGCTGCCAGGCTGGGAGCGGCCAGGCCCGGGGGAGCAGGCGGGTCGGGTGCGGCCAGGCCCGGAGCAGCGGCTGCCAGGCTGGGAGCGGCCAGGCCCGGGGGAGCAGGCGGGGCTGGTGCGGCCAGGCCCGGAGCAGCGGCTGCCAGGCTGGGAGCGGCCAGGCCCGGGGGAGCAGGCGGGTCGGGTGCGGCCAGGCCCGGAGCAGCGGCTGCCAGGCTGGGAGCGGCCAGGCCCGGGGGAGCAGGCGGGTCGGGTGCGGCCAGGGCCGGAGCAGCGGCTGCCAGGCTGGGAGCGGCCAGGCCCGGGGGAGCAGGCGGGGCTGGTGCGGCCAGGCCCGGAGCAGCGGCTGCCAGGCTGGGAGCGGCCAGGCCCGGGGGAGAGGCGGGTCGGGTGCGGCCAGGCCCGGAGCAGCGGCTGCCAGGCTGGGAGCGGCCAGGCCCCGGGGAGCAGGCGGGTCGGGTGCGGCCAGGCCCGGAGCAGCGGCTGCCAGGCTGGGAGCGGCCAGGCCCGGGGGAGCAGGCGGGGCTGGTGCGGCCAGGCCCGGAGCAGCGGCTGCCAGGCTGGGAGCGGCCAGGCCCGGGGGAGCAGCCGGGTCGGGTGCGGCCAGGCCCGGAGCAGCGGCTGCCAGGATGGGAGCGGCCAGGCCCGGGGAGCAGGCGGGTCGGGTGCGGCCAGGCCCGGAGCAGCGGCTGCCAGGCTGGGAGCGGCCAGGCCCGGGGGAGCAGGCGGGTCGGGTGCGGCCAGGCCCGGAGCAGCGGCTGCCAGGCTGGGAGCGGCCAGGCCCGGGGGAGCAGGCGGGTCGGGTGCGGCCAGGCCCGGAGCAGCGGCTGCCAGGCTGGGAGCGGCCAGGCCCGGGGGAGCAGGCGGGTCGGGTGCGGCCAGGCCCGG